GACTCCTTCCCCTCTGATTGCACTGCAAGACCAGCAGACCACTATTACCCTTACCGGCACTTTCCGTCATTTCCTGTAATTGGATCTTACAAGTTGGGACAATTCTGTCAGACAAATATAAACAGCTGGCAAAAGGCTTTTGTGGTAGTTCCCTCTATTGTTGGCATCTACAGGACCACATTTTGTCACGATGACACACACTCGCAAGGTAAAAACTATACCAGGGCCGCTGCTGCAGCTGGTAATTAGCATGTGCAAAGAGACAGCAGATGGTAGAAAGTAACACAATATGACAGCTCGACAGAATATTATGCCAATGGATGTGTGAGGAACGTTTCAGGAAGTAAGAGGCAAAATAACAGATATTTGCTTTCAGTGATGGTGAAACATTAGTGGTCACATGGCATCTTTCTCCTCAAGACACCAACAATAATCCTGGAGTGCTCGTGAGAACGGCACAAAAGGTTATTATGCATTCAGTCACACCCTCCTCTTTGGAAATGAAGCCATTTTTATATATCAGAACATGTGCATCATCAACAGACCAATGGCAACACACACCGCACAAATGAAACACACGTAACACTTTGACAGCGCACACAATATTAATAAAGAACAGTGCATGCTAGGTTGAATCCAGCTCCCCAGTGACCCTCTAAGGATAATTGGTATAGAAGGTGAAGCATCTTTGTTAATTCTACGCGCTTACAGGAATGCCTCAAATAATAAAACCAAGCCCCACAAGTCAAACAACAAAAAACAGGATTCACAATGTTTGCGGTTAGCAATGCGAGCGGTGGTCAGCGTACGAACAGCAAATTACGTTTCAAGTAAAATGTTTGAACGTGTAGTCAATTCAGTCGTGTATCATTTTAACGAACATCCCCACTTCAGTGAGAAAAAAATTCAAGACACTCAGGTTACCTGAAAAGGTTCTGCAGCATTACGGTTTTCTTCTGTCAGCAAAAATCTAAATGCATTCACTTTAAAAAGGTGACTAAAAGAATAAATCTGGTTACACGATATCTTTTTGTAATACTATCAACAGATCCAATGGAATGAGCAAGTCCCTGTGTGGCCAAATTCTCCATTGACTTCCTGTTTTGTTCATCGACTATTAGAAACACATCAAACATGTTCCTTCCCATAATGAACATGGGCACCGTTGTTTATTCAGACTCGGTGCTGCACACATATTACTGGAGCACCAAATCCAAACGAATCCACTATTTACTCCTCTTTCTGTAACGTAAGCCATTTTCTATGCAGCGAAATGGGCAGC